GACGCTATCTGGGCCATTCTTTAATCATTTGATCGGCAGCTCGTCAGCTGGATTCACTGAGCTGATCTTGATTGGAGAGAGAGTATAAGCTGGGATTCGGAGCGGAAAGATATAGAAGGATGCCTCTTCGAATTCGGTAAAGAAGCCTTTTTTTGGTAAGAAGGAAGCCAGTGCCATCTATAGCCCGAGGGGCCAAAGCAGAGCTGAACATCGTCAAACAGTAAGTGCTATAATGATACCTAGGCCTGCGGCTGCTCCACAATGCAACAATCAACAAAGGGTGGAAAGACCATAATGGTAGTTTACCCGAATCAACATGACATTGGCTGAAGTTCTACCCTATCTACTGAGATCCAACTTGGCGACCATGAAAGAGGCTCCCAAGAATCCGAACACCACATCTCCCCGATATAATCCAAATACTCGGTGTTCCTATCATTCTGAAAGTCCTGGCCACAACACCAATGATTGTTGGGCCCTAAGAAATAAGGTACAAGATTTGATCGAAGCCAAGGAAATTGAGTTCGATGCTCCGGAAAAGCCCAATGTCATAACTGCTCCCATGCCTAAGCACGGTCGTGGATATAATGTTGTTGATACTGACTTGTTTGTAACCTCGGTGGATGAAGTTTCTACACCTCTCATGATGATGAAGAAGAATTTGTTTTTGGCCGGTTTATTTCCGGGTTGTGGTGAAGGTTGCCACATGTGTTCATTTCTGCCTTCTGGTTGCCATTTGCTGAAGTCAGGTGTTCAACGCCTAATGGACAGTAAAGAAATTTTGTTCGAGAAAAATTTGGTTCTCGTTGTTCCATCTGAAGACATTTCCATTATAACCATTTCCGCCAATCCTTCCAAGGTCTCCTCGAGAAGACCTATTAGGATTACATCTGCTCCAAGAATCGCTCCGCTAATAATCACTATTCCTGGTCTTGTCCCGTATGCCTCGGACAAAGTTGTCCACTAGCATTATGGTGCCAATGTGTACTATCATGGCATCAAACAAGATCTGAAAAATGAAGAGGTTGATCCTGATATTGGTAACATTGTTGGGACCAGCAAGGTTACCTGAAGTGGAAGGGTTTTCTCTCCTGAGATTTCCCCTAAGACTGTCAACAGGCCTATTGTCATTCCATCTGTTGTTCCTGCTAGTACATCAACTACTGCTCCTGTTCTTACTCCAATTATTACCCCCGCCGGTGAATCATCTGGTATCCGCGGAAAAGAAGTTATAGGTGAGCCTGCCCGGACGGAGGCGCCTAGGAAAATTGTCGTGGACGCCTCGAAGCAAGAGATAGAGGAAATAATGAAAATAATCAAAAAGAGCAACTACAACGTGGTCGAGCAGCTACGGCAGACCCCCTCAAAGATATCTATGTTGTCTTTGTTGTTGTGTTTCAAAGCCTATGCGAAGGCTTTGATTGAATTCCTCAATACTTCGCATGTGCCGCAGGAGACCTCAGTTGATCAATTCAAAGATTGTGTGGCTAGCCTGACTACTGACAATGGGCTGGGTTTTTCAGATGCGGACCTGACACCAAAAGGGAGGAAGCATAATGATGCTCTGCATGTCTTGATTGAGTGCAGCGGCACCACTATGGCTCATGTGCTGGTAGATATTGGGTCTTTGCTGAATGTCCTGCCTAAGAAGGCGTTGGATCGGTTGGACTGTGAGGGCTTGACCTTAAAGCCTAGTAACATTATGGTGAAGGCTTTTGATGGGTCGAAGAGAACGGTGCATGGGGAGGTGGACATCCTTGTCAAAGTAGGCTCTCAAACCTTTGAGTCCACCTTCTATGTAATGGAAATCCAGCCGTCATATTCTTGTTTGTTGGGTCGTCCTTGGATCCATGAAGATGGGGCAGTCACTTCCACATTGCACCAGATGCTAAAATATCCAGTAAGAGGAAAGATTGTCACTGTGCAAGGTGAGGAGGAGTATATGGTGAGCCACCTCAATTCTTTCAAGTACGTAGAGATGAATGGGGAATTCATAGAGACTCCTTGCCAGAATTTTGAAGAGGTTCCCCAGATCTTGGCATCGGCTGAAGCTACTACCAGCAACAAACCTCCTCTGAAGATGGCTTCTCTCAGAGACGCGACAGTCGTGATTAAAGAAGGTGGGTCTACCAATTGGGGACAACTCCCTGATTTTACTCACAAAACTGATAAGTTTGGTTTGGGCTTTACTTCAGGAGCTCAAAAGGCTGTTCGACGAGCTCGGGCTGGAGGACCTCCCCTACGCATCAGCAATCGGGGAATTAATGCCATTGAAGACGGCGAGGAAGACTCGGACATTGACAGCTGGATCTACCCAACTACCAACGGTGGACCAAGTAATTGGACGGGGACTTTATACTAGTTTCTTTTATTCCGCAGTAATTGTCTTACTTGTTTTTAAGAGTTGTAATAAACAATTTAAAACTTTACGGCCTTGTGCCTTGCCCGAGGCACATTGGCTTTGCTTGTGAGGGCTATTATTTGTCATTTCATATATCATTAATAAAGCATTAGATGTTTCTTGCATACAAATTTTACGCCCTCTATTTTTCCTTTCCGTTTCCACTTTATCAAAACAGCTATTCTCTTACACACACTCACGTATCATACTGCAGATCCATATCCACTATGGATCCCATTGATAACAGCTCTGCTATTGCCAGTTATGACTTTGAAAATCCGATCAACCAAGCTGAGGACGAAGGTGAGGATGATTGTGTGGTGTCGGGAGAGCTTGATAGACTATTACAACAGGAAGAAAGGGCTATACATCCTCATGAAGAGCTGGTTGAGACGATAAACCTGGGCACAGAGATAGACAGAAAGGAGGTCAAGATTGGTGCAAATTTGGAAGTTAAGATCAAACAGCGATTGATACAAATGTTGCACGACTACGTTGAGATCTTTGCTTGGTCATATGAAGACATGCCAGATTTAGACACTAATATTGTGGTTCATCGTCTGCCGACCAAAGAAGATTGTCCTCCGGTTAAACAGAAGGTCCATCGTATGCGCCCTGAAATGTCAGAGAAGATCAAGGCAGAGGTCATGAAGCAGTTCGGTGCAGGACTCTTAGTTGTCACTTCTTATTCACAGGGGGTTGCTAACATCGTTTCGGTACCTAAGAAGGACGATAAAGTGCGGATGTGTGTGGATTACAGATATCTGAACAGGGCAAGCCCCAAGGATGACTTCCCTCTTCCTCACATTGATGTTCTAGTTGACAATACCGTGCAACACAAAATATTCTCCTTTATGGATGGTTTCTCTGGCTACAATTAGATCAAGATGGCTCCTGAAGACATGGAGAAGACAACCTTCGTCACGCAGTGGGGCACCTTCTGTTACAAGGTGATGCCTTTTGGGTTGAAGAATGTTGGGGCAACTTATCAGTGTGCCATGGTCGCTTTGTTCCATGATATGATTCATCACGAGATCAAAGTTTATGTTGATGACATGATAGCCAGGTCTCAAACTAAGGAAGAGCACCTTTATCATCTATAAAAAAATTTCGGCGGGTTGAAGGTATAAAAATTGAGGTTGAATCCGAACAAGGGCACCTTCGGGGTAAGATCCGGTAAACTTTTGGGTTTCATCATCAGCGACAAAGGCATCCAAGTAGATCCTGCAAAGGTAAAGGCTATACAAGAAATGCCAGCTCCCCGTACAGAGAAGGAGGTTAGAGGTTTCTTGGGACGCTTTAATTATATCGCCAGGTTCATTTCGCATCTGACTGCTACCTGTGAGCCCATCTTCAAGCTTCTGAAGAAAGATCAAGTGGTAAGGTGGAATGATGAATGCCAAACCGCCTTTGAAAGAATCAAAGAATACCTTTAAGAACCACCAATTCTAATGCCTCCGGTTGAAGGAAGACCTTTGATATTGTACTTGACAGTGCTAGACAATTCAATGGGGTGTGTGTTGGGGAAGCATGACGAGTCTGGTCGAAAAGAGCATGCAATATACTACCTTAGCAAAAAATTTACCAACTGTGAGACACGATACTCACTGCTCGAGAAAACTTGTTGCGCTTTGGCATGGGCTGCTCGCCGATAAAGACAGTACATGCTGACCCACACTACTTTGTTGATATCTAATATGGATCCGATCAAATACATCTTCGAGAAACCTGCTCTCTCCGGAAGAATAGAAAGATGGTAGATGATCTTAATTGAGTACGATATACAATATACAACCTAGAAAGAAATCAAGGGGAGTGTATTGGCTGATCATTTGTCTCATCAGGCTGTGGATAACTACCAGTCCATGAATTTTGAGTTCCCAGATGAGAATATTATGCTGGTGACTGACTATGAAGAACTTGGACCGGATGAAGGACCCGAGGAGGGATCCCGATGGACTATGTTTTTTGACGGAGCTTCGAACGCACTGGGTAGTGGCATTGGAACTGTAATCATATCTCCTGAGGGTTGTCATACTCCTTTCACTTCTCGGTTATGTTTCAACTGCACTAACAACATGGCGGAGTATGAAGCTTGTATCATGGGACTCAAGGCCGCTATTGACCTCAGGATCAAATTCTTGGACGTTTTCAGGGATTCAGCCTTGGTAATAAGTCAGATCAAAGGCGAATGGGATATGAAGCACCCAAACCTTATTCCTTACAAAGAGTACGTATTGACATTATGTTGCACCCTAAAATTTTCCCTACTAAATTTCTCTTATTCTGGCTTAGACTCTTGCATTCGTCTGTATATATTCCATTAGGTCATTAACATACATTTGCATTCAATAAAGCGCTTAAGGTTAAAAGTTCAGTGGTTGTGCGATATTAGGGTTTCATAATGATTAAGGCGTTCGTGTTCGGTAAAGGCTGATTTCTTATTCAGGCAGCGAGCAGTGGAATTAGGGTTGTGACCTGGGTCATTGAGAATTTCTTTCTTCATCAAGACACGAGGATATCATGGTTTATTTGCCTATATGCGATTAAAGTCAGGTTTTCGGTAATTGTGGTCCAATCGGGTTTTTTGTCGAAGATCATGAGATTAGGGTTTGTTTTATCAAGGGACTTTCTCATAGAGCCTTATATTGTGCGTCAGGAAGTATCATCTCCAAGGGAGTTTCTTAAGGATTTTAGCCTCACATTTTCAAGTGGACATGTTTGTGACTTGAATTACAAAAGTTGAAGCACAATACAAGATATGATGTGAAAGAGAACTAATTGAGTTAGACGAATATGAATAAAGGCTTTGATTTTGGGCAAAGTCAATATGGAGAGGTTGTTTTCTTGACGAAGTTCATGCATGATTATTTTGATTTGATTGAATGTTATGTCACATCATGAATTCAGAACTGGTTCATTGAATAAGCAAGTTGGCTAGAATTAGTTCATTGAGTCAAGGAAGTGAAATGATTAGAGGATAATCAAATAGTATTAAAGAAATCTAAGTGTTGGTTTGATTTCAAGAATTTGATTCATTCGAGTTTGAAGACCTTAGTCATAAGAGTTTCTTGGAATGCAAAAAATAAGATACAGAAGGGCAAGGCATAGTCATTCATTATAATTCCATTCAAGTGATTATTTTGGTTCAAGTTATCACTTTCAGTATCATTCAAATACCGTTCAAAATCAATCCAAATACAATCCAAACATAATCCATCTACATTGCATCATTTGAAGGAAATAGCGTCCATCATTGAAACCGCTTCGAACTCCAAGGAAGTTCGCAGAATTTCTCGTGATGTGCGCCTTACAATTGCTTTGAGGTCCAGACTCACAGCTCCGGTTCTCTCATCCTTCATCGATCACATTCTTCCTACAGCTTCTGACTCTCACTCTAGGCTATATTCTTACCTTCCTAATCCCAAGGATGATGATCATGAGATGGAAGTGGATTCTACAACATCTGCAACTATTCAAACCCCAGCCAAACACTTGTTGCTTGAACTAGAAATCTACTGTTATTTCCTTGTGCTTCTTTTTCTTATTGATCAGAAACGATATCAAGAGGCCAAAGCTTGTTCCTCGGCTAGCATTGATCGGCTCAAGAACTTGAATAGAAGAATTGTAGATGTTATAGCCTCAAGACTGTACTTTTATTACTCGTATAGCTATGAACTTACTAAAGATCTTGCTGAAATTCGTGGAAACCTCTTTCAAGCTATCGATCAACCCTGCGCATGAAAACCTGAAATCAGTTAAGCAAGTTAATGGTTGCAGTCCCGCATTCGACAGAAAAATAAGAAGTCAAGTCTTAACTGAATTTTGTTTCAGCATAACAAAAAAATCAGAAACTTCTAATAGAAGTCATAACAACTCGACTTTCATTCAAATCTCAACCATTCGTTTTTCCTAACTAATTTTCAATTTAACCACTCAAATCAAAATAGATCCCTAATTGATTTTTTTTAACCAACTAACAGAACTTCCAAACAGAATCCTAACTTCTCTAACTATTTCTTAACTTCCTACTGTCTAACAGAATTTCCAAACTGTTTCAAAAAAAAGAAAACTGACAGTTTCTAACTACTTCTAATTCCTTAACTGTTTTTCTAATAAGAAACGAACAGAAAAATAACTAACTTTCATTCCTAACAAAATGTAACCGAATCAGTTACACATAACAAAAGATAAAATTAACTAACTGATAGAGAGATAACTGACTTCTAACAGATTACAACCGAATTTAGGGGGAAAAAAGAGGGGCACGATTCATTTATTACAGAATACAGAAAAAAAGATCGGTTATAGAACTCACCATAAATTGTTGTTCTCTGGATTGCTTCAGGAAAAAGCAGAATCACCAACCTCCATCTGGATCTTCTCTCTATAACTACCTTGACATTCTCTCCTCCAACGGACACCAAAATCTTCAATCTTCTTTGCATTCTCTCTCTGCTTTAATCCTTCTCAGTTTTCTATGTAATCTTCCAATTCTCTGCAATCATCATCACCAATGAGAATCAACGAATCTCATAGCATCCTTTCTTTGAATCACCTTCATAATTCCTCTGCAAATGGCGCTTCAGCCTTAACGATCTTTATCTTCGAATCTTGATCCGCTTCACTTCTCAACATAACTTCAATCCTCATCATCACTTCAATCTTTATGATTCTTCAATCGCAATAATCTTCACCTTCACAACAGCTTCACTGTTTCAATCTCCATCGTATATTCATCACCATCATTTCTCTAAAAAGCTCTGAGAATCTGCAACAAACTCCTCACTCTCTCATTGTGAAATCGTAAATTTCAGCAAACAACAAAACATCAGTAACCGCATCATATTCGCGATTCACACAAAAACTAAATCGGAACGCGAAATCAGAGAAGAAGTACAAGAAGAAGACGGAAAAGAAAAATTGAAATCTGGAGCGGTTAGGGAGGCAATAGTATTACCTCTGACACTTCGAAGAATCACTGGAACGCCACCGATTGGTGAGTCCTCTTTACCTTTTTCTTTTACGAATTTCGTTTAGGACTTTTGAATCCGCGATGGAGAACAGAACGTGAGAATAAATTTGGAACGTGCGGTGTCTGAGGAAGCTGGCGGTGTTTTGAAATGGAGGCGAAATCGTAGGGGACGAGGGAGGCACCATTCATTGTGAAAGTTAGAAGAAGATGAGAGTGATGAGATCTTGGAACACGAACCGTCGCCCCATAACCTAGCCCTAACCCTTTCTTCAATTTTCTGTACCTCTACTATGTTTTTTTTCTTTTCTTTCAATTTCTTTAGATTTTCTATTAACTTTTTCTTTTTAGTCTGAAATATACAAAATTTGGATGAGGATTTCAATTTAAGCCCATATTTGTTTTGTTTTGACAACCTGAGATTCAAAAATGCAAAAATGGTTTATTGGACCATACTTTCTTTCTCCCTGGGACCGTTAATACTTTTTTTTGGAATTTAATAGACAAATAAAAAAATATTCTAATGGGCATGGTGCTGCAGGTTAAGCCCTGCGTTTTATTTTGTTTTCAGACTTTATGATCTGGATTACACCCCCCTGAGTTTTCTAATTTTTTTTTAGCTTTCTTTTTTGTTCAAATTTCTCCAAATTTTCTTAATAGAAATAGTGATAAAAAATGCACATATAATGAAACGACAAAAACATGTAAAGTTTAGGACTTTCTCTTAATTTTTTATATATCTTTCCATGATAAAAATAATCGAATCAAAAAAAAAACTTGTAGGTTTTGTGTTACTTTAGTTTTAATAAATTTAATCATTCGATTATATTTGAGATTGGTAATTCATCTTTGCTTGTTGAGATGTGAGTATAATACAGGTTTATCGCGCAATATGCGGATACGCTCGAGATTTAAATCGTGATTTATTTTCACATCGATGATGCTTCGACACCTATACCGCGTATTCGACTTTTGACTCTTTTCTTTATTGATGCTAGCAGCTCGTGAGATCATCGAGTTTCTTTGCTTTTTACTTCGCTCTACAGGCTGGTATTTGTTTGGTATATTTTCTTTCTACTTTCTCTCCGCATTCATCATTTCCTAGAGATTGTATGAAGTATAATAACATTAGGCTTAGAAATAGGCTAGTCTCCCTTTGACTTTTCTTTCGCCTTTTTCATTTGCACTAAAACAAAAACTTATTTTTCTCACAAACTTCAAAATACTTAAAAAATTTACTGACGAGAATCATACCTTTGTTAAGCATGAGAGATGATAAGCGGGTTTCTTCTCGGCCTTATTGTTCTCTTATTATAAGCTTTGGTATGGTTCAAGTCTCAAAGACTTATTTCAGGAATAAGTGGAGAAATGGCTAAAATCTCTCTCTTGAGGTCAACTAACCGTTATCTACAAGCAAAAACACCAACAAACACAAACTCTTTTTTCCTTCGGGCCTTTCTTTTGAAACCTTTTCAAAAGAGCATGTTAATTCACTTCTGTGCTGACGCGTAAGTCTCCAAAGGTCGAGTTGCGGCAGAAGGAGAAATTAATATTGTTCATTAATAAAAAACACAAACCAATTCAAACCTTTTTGTGCGCCCCAAGCACCTTTTCTCCAAAAACTTTTCAAAAGAGCATGTTAATTCACTTTTGTGCTGACGCGTAAGTCTCCAAAGGTCGAGTTGCGGCAGAAGGCGAAAGTAAATATTGTTCATTAAAAAAAATACAAACCAACAAAAACATATGAGCCAAACTACGGCTGCTCTGATTCCTTAAAAGGGATACATAGGCATCGGGGTAGGGCCCGAACGAGCACAACTTTTATTTTCCCTACATTCTTTTCTCCTTTTATTTTGCATGCATTCTCCCTTTAGTAGTATAGTAAACAGTAAGCATAGATTAAACACATCCATAAGATGGACAATAAGAGTGGATACCATAGAGTACTACGGGCGTGTGGGGTGCTAATACCTTCCCCTCGCGTAACAGACTCCCTTACCCTTATCTCTCGGTCGCAAGACCGTGACTTCTCCATTCTCATGTTTTCTCGATGTTTACCTTTCCCTTCGTGTGGGATAAAAGACGTTCGATGGCGACTTCATTGTCTGATGATTTTCGGCTAGTTGTTTGAGCTGGCGGCTTCACTGGGGAAAGGTCGACCAAATGCTGGTCCATCCCGGAGTCGATCCTAGCTCTTGTTTTCTTTTCTTTGGGTGTTTATTTTTATGCTTTTAGTTTACTCAGTTGTACATGTTTATCTGAGCATATGTTTGCATCACACTTTACTATCTTCCATATACTGTTGTTGTACTGGATCTGCTTCTTGTTTAAGGTGGGGATGTTACTATTGAGGTAAAAGGCCCAGTACCCAGGCCAGAGTGCACTAGGACACTTAGGAATAGAGTGGGGGCATGACGGCTATAGGACGTGGTCCGATTAGTACAGTCATGTCATATACCACGCTCGGATGAGGTTCAATTGGAGGTACTTTCATCATGCACGTCTGTGTTGCGATGATTTTACTATCAGGCGAACCCGTGATTTTCGAGTTACCATTATCTCACTCTGACCTAGTCTTCACACGTGAGTGGGGAGGGAATTCTTATCACAGGTATAGTTGGTGACTATATTTAGACGGTTACTTTTAGTTATGTCTTGGATTTCTGCCAACAATTATGAGGTTCTCAGATTTATTTTCTGAGGATCCAACTATGATCTTCATGGATTTCTTTCGGTTACGTTTCAGACCTATAATTTCGGTATTAACAGAATATGGAGAGGCAGTACAACAAGAATCAGTATCATGGAAGTAGTAACCCCATGATCATTTGCACACACATCATAGCATATTTACTTTTCAAACAAAATATATATGTCAATAATTAATTCGCATGCGCATTGTCATTTCCAGGATCTCTCTAGGGTTTCCTTTTCCTCTAAAGAATGGAAAACAACATTGATATCATCCTAAAGACAAAGAGGGATAACTTCAGCTATCAGTTCTGTCCTAGTATTTGGCCCTCTCTTGAAGAGCTCAGAGACCTCATGAATTGTTAATAAATGGGCATTTTTGGTGAAAGATATGGGAATCTCCTATCTTTATTGGATGCTCGGGTTGACGATAAGGCTGTACAGACTTTGTTACAATTTTATGATTCGAAGTTGCATTGTTTCACATTTCAAGACTACCAGTTAGCACCTACTCTTGAGGAGTATGCTCATCTTCTCCACATTAAGCTCACCAGTCATGTTCCATTTGTTTGAGTCCCTATTGAGCCTGACTTTGAGGCCATTGCTAAGGTTCTTTATTTGAGCCTTAACGATGTAAAAGGGAAATGGAGACGTAACAAAGTCACTTGTGGCCTTCCTGTAGATTTCTTGGTAAGTAAGGCTAAGGAAATGGCAAACGCAGGAAACTGGGATGCTTATAATGCTCTGTTGGCTGCTATCATTTACGGAGTTGTCTTATTCCCTGAGATTAAAGAAATCATAGACTTGGCTTCTCTTTGTGTTTTCGTGAATAAGAATCTTATACCTACGCTATTAGCGGATACTTACCACGCCATCCACTCCATGCATGGAAAGAAAGGAGTATTGGTATGTTGTACACCTATGCTTTACAAATGGTTCATGGCACAGTTACCCACCAAAGGGCCATTCAAAGAAGATCCTCGTTCATGGGCATCCAAAGTGATGACACTCACCTCTTTCGATATCCAATGGTACAAACTTAAGGCGGATAGCTCCGAAGTCATCTCTTACTGTGTAGGTT